ACTCCATTTAGTGGTGATTTCATAGTTTTCTGAAATATACAGGAGGTAGATTTTCGGGGGAGGGAGGGAGGACTTAAAAAGGCTTGGAGAAGAAATATTTTAGTTTATTAAACAATAAGTTAAATTATACAGTTTTCAATTTTTAGCAGATTTTATTGGCTCTAAAGAAAAGTTAAATTCAGAGTAGCATAATGGAAAAAAGGAGTTGAAAACATGAATGAAGTTTTTAATTAAGTAAATATTCTTCATTTGGGGGTTAGAAATGTACTGAGTATGTTTTTAGTACCTAGTGTAGGAAGATTTAAGTATCCAGTCCTTGAGGCACTGAATTTGGGTTTTTCCCCAGTTGTTATACTCAAGTCTGCTTTCTAGACATCTCATTCAAAACAAATGCTGACTTTGTTCTTTCTTTAGACCATTCTTAGTATATTTGAATTCTGAGGTACCTGTTCTACCTCTTAATGAAAGCTGAGTAGTGAAATAAAGCAGTTGGGATGTAGCCCTAAGTTTTTAGGGTAACCTAAGATTTCAGTTAAAATTGAATTATACATTATTTTAATTTCATTCAGTTGTGCTCAAATAACTATAATGTGTTCAATACAACTTTCAAAAATCCTGTGTTTTAGTTTAATTCTATTCCCCTTGGTCTATTTGCACTAATTTCAAAGGAAGTAATATCAGTTCTTTTAGTTTGAAAGTCTTGCAAGTATAGAAAAAAGCAGATTATAATTGATGAATCTCTTGATAATTAGCTTTACTCTTAGGTATTTGGGGAGCTTTACTCTTAGGTATTATATGGACTATAATAAAAGTGTATGAAGAGCCAAAGTGGTGACATTTATGGAGTAAAAAAAAAATCCATAGTACTTACCCAGTGCTTTAATGTTTTCTTTTAAATATAAATTTAAAGTACCCATTCTTTTTCCCCAGTACTCATGAACCCTATATGTCTAAATATGAAATACATCTTTTGTGAAAAATCATAAAGAATGCTCATTTCTTCCAATTTTATTTTTTTTTATATGGAAAATCTACTAAAAACTACTGATACTTTAAGAAGGAGAGTTTTTAAAAATGTTTTGTGTTTTGCATCGTTAATACATACATAAGTTTTATACTTTGGGGGTTTTAAGAACTCTTTTTCTTCCCTAAGTAACAAAGATTTTTTTCTGCATTGATTCTGTTAGCTTTACAGTGTTACCTCTCACATTATGTCCTTAATCTACCTGCGGTCCACCTCTGTGTATAGTGTCGAGTGGGAACCCATTTTTATTGTTTCCCCGCGTATGGCGCCAGTTTTCCCTGCTAACGGTTTGTCCTTTCCCCGCTGACTTATGGGCATTCTTAACTGTGCAGTAAGTAGGCCTCGTGCAGCCCCGATCTGTCTCAGCATTCTCTGTTCTGCGTGCCAGCACCACTCTAGTTTTGTTGTCACAGAACAAGTGCCCCTTTTTTGTCTTTTTAACTTTTTTTTAGCGCTGTTTTAGCTTTTGTGAACTATTGTTCTCTCATATGCATTTGAAACAAGTTTGAGTTCCCAAATAATAATAACGTAATATAATAATAAAACCAATGATGAAATTACATTGAATTTATACATTAACTTAGGGAGAACTGAAGTCTTTTTTCATTGTGGTGTAATTGACACATAACGTTTTATTAGTTTCAGGTGTACAACATAATGACTTGACATTTGTATAGTCACAATAAGTGATCACCACAATAAGTCTAGTTAACATTCTTAACCATATATAGTTACAAATTTTTTTTTTCTTATGATGAGGACTTTTAAGATTTACTCTTGGGGCTTCCCTGGTGGCGCAGTGGTTGGGAGTTCGCCTGCCAATGCAGGGGACACGGGTTCGCGCCCGGGTCCGGGAAGATCCCACATGCTGCGGAGCGGCTGGGCCCGTGAGCCATGGCCACTGAGCCTGTGTGTCCAGAGCCTGTGCTCCGCAACAGGAGAGGCCACAACAGTGAGAGGCCCGCGTACCGCAAAAAAAAAAAAAAAAAAAAAAAGATTTACTCTTAGCACCTTTCAAATATGCAACACAGTATTGTTTACTGTGGTCGCCATGCTATACATTATTATATCCCTGGGACTTATTTATTTTATATCTGGCAGTTTGTACCTTTTGACACCCCTTTCACCCTTTTTGCTCACCCCTCATTCCCAACCTTTGGCAACCACCAATCTGTTCTCTGTGTCTATGAGTTTGGGATTTTTTTGTTTGTTTGTTTGTTTATATTCCACATATAAGTGATATCATACAGTATTTGTCTTTCTCTGACAGATTTCATTTAACATAATGCTGCTCTCAGGGTCCATCTATGTTGTCACAAACGACAGAATTTCCTTCTTTTTTATAGCCGATTAAAATTGCATTGTATAGTATATACACCACATCTTTATCCATTCATCTGTCTATAGACACACTTAGATTGTTTCCACGTTTTGGCTATTGTAAATATTGCTGCAGTGAACGTGGAGGTGTAGATATCTTTTTGAATTGGTGTTTTTATTTTCTTCAGATAAATACCCAGAAGTGGGATTGCCGGATCATATGGTAGTTCTATTTTTAATTTTGAGGACCCTCCATAGTGTTTTCCATAGTGGCTGCACCAATTTACATTCCCACCAACAGAGCACAGAATGTCTTCACTTATCCAGATCTTAACTTCTTTTAACAGTTTGAAATTTTCTCCATACTTTTTGTTCAGTTAGTTTTTAAATGTTTAACCCATTAGGGTTTTGCTTTTTTGGGTTTTTTGTTTGTTTGTTTTGCTATTATGAGTGGTAGCTTTCTGTTACATTCTCTGGTTGTTCCTGGTATAGAGAAATATTGATCTTTTTAAGTTTACCTTTTATCTATGAACCTTTCTAAACTCTAATTACTTCTAATAATATGCTGAATCTTGGTGAATCTCCCTGTGATACTACATGAATGTTTGTATCAAATACAAGTAAGATGTTTCTTTTTTCCTTTCCAATCTTTATTCCTCTTGTTCTTTCTCCTTGCCTTTTCTTTTCCTTTTCTTTTCTCTTCACCTTCTCCATCTTAAAAATAATGGTGGCCAGGAGTTCTAGTTTTTTGTTAAACATAGCGGGGTCCATGAGTGTTCTTTCTTACTCTGTCCACCTTCCACCCTGTCATCTCCTTGAAAGGTCACAGCAGTTTTTCTGTGAGTCTCTGCCCTCATCTTGATTGATCCCTCCACAGCATTTAGCACTACCGACCTCTGCTTCCTTCACTTCCTGGATGCTTGTACCCCTTCTTCCAGTCGCCTCTGCCCAGCTTGTAGGTGCTGGTGGTGGTACTCGGGCTGCATCCCGCGCCCTCTTCCACCTGACTTGATTGCCCTCCCTGGATGACCTCATCCCTGCCCATGGCACACATCTCCAACGCCTGAAGTCCAAAACCCCACATCCATTTTTCCCACCCCAGTTCTCCTTTTGTTACCCTATTTCAGTAACTCTCCATCCTGTTGCTTCATGCAGAAACCTGGGTGTCACCCATCACTCTCCCACCCCTTCTCCATCCATTCTTCTTCCTGTAGCACACGTCTCTTCAGTCCTCTCCACCCCTACCGTCATAGTCCTCGTTCCGGCTGCCATGCCCTCTGACCTGTGTTACCATGATCCCTAGTCCCTGCCAGGTGGCTGCCTGGAAGCTGGTAGCTGTAGAACAGCATCCTGATTTTCCTAATCATGCCAGAGACAGCAGCTCCCTTTTTGGCCTGGTTTTTTGGGAGTTGCTCCTGAAAGTTTAGCTAGGCTCCCTTTGTTGATGCCTCCCAATGATTCTGGGAGCTACTAGTATTTCTTAAAAACAAAGTCTCTGCCTCCAGCATTTCCCTTTCCCCACTGTGTGCTCACTTCTACACTTAGGGGTGGGGCTTCTAAAATTCATATGCATGTAATTGCATCAGCTTCCTGCTCAAAATCCTTCAGTGAATGCCTGTTACTTGTTAGACAAAGTCAGAATCCCTAACAAAGACCATACCTCTGTTTAATCCGTTACTAGGTTACTAGGCTTCTCCCTCAACTTCTCCCTCTTCTGTGCAGAATTTCTTTCATTTCCTGTGACATGCCATGGCCCCTCTCCGCTCTAGGGGCCTCATGCAGAGCCTTGTACCCTGACAGGAACACCTCCACAATCATGTACATTATCCAGGTTTCATGTGGGATAGCACTTCCTTAGGAAACCTTCCTCTACCTTCCAAATCTGTCTGGTGTGACCCCTGCACCTTCTTAGGGCATGTATCCCTCCATATTGTGACTCTGTGTCCTGCCCACATGGTGACTTCTGTTTGGACAGGTATCTTTAGTCCCTAGCACAGTCCCTGGCGTATGATAAATGTTCAATAACCATTTAGTGAATGACAGTGAAATACACTCCCTCTGTGAAAATGTTACTGTTCCTGTGTGTTGATTAACCGAGTTTATCTGGTCCAGGGGATTTATTAAAACCGTACCAATAGCAGTAGTCAGCCAAGCAACCAACCCCCCTTCTTCCTTTCCTTCCTTTACCCTTTTTTACCACTATTAGTTATTGAGCACTTAAGAGCCAATTTAAAGAAATGTGTTTTTTTAATTTATTTGTTTTTTGCTGTATTGGGTCTTCGTTGCTGTGCGCAGGCTTTCTTTAGTTGCGGCGAGTGGGGGCTACTCTTTGTTGCAGTGCATGGGCTTCTCATTGCGGTGGCTTCTCTTGTTGTGGAGCATGGGCTCTAGGCGCATGAGCTTCAGTAGTTGCAGCATGAGGGCTCAGCAGTTGTGGTATGCAGGCCCTAGAGCATGCGGGCTTCAGTAGTTGTGGCCCGTGGGCTCTAGAGCGCAGGCTCAGTAGTTGTGGTGCACGGGCTTAGCTGCTCCGCGGCATGTGGGATCTTCCTGGACAAGGGCTTGAACCCGTGTCCCCTGCATTGGCAGGTGGATTCTTAACCACTGTGCCACCAGGGAAGTCCATAAAGAAATGTTGAGATTAAAATCAATTTGAACTTTCTCAAATTTGAGATAAAGTTGACTAGTAGTCTTGGAACCAAGCCCTTAGGTGTGGCTGGGATGGAAAAGAATCCTTCATGGACTCTCCATTGGTCCCCAGACTTTTTTACTTAGCCAGGATGTCTTCAGTTTATGTGCCCTGGAGAATTACTGTAAACATGGATCCTCCCTTATGTTTCGCCTCCTAAGCCTCTGAATGTGAAGTCCCTGCCTTACTAGAGGTACTTCATTGAATAAGGCAAGAATGTGGTGGAATGCCCTTTCACTGACATAAGAATGGTTTGGATCCTAATCATACAGGGAATGGGCTTTGTAAACCCATTGATCAAGATACAAGATCAGTGACATGTCATTTCTTTTTGTGCAGTAGAGATGCAGATCATTTTTTCCCCTGGGCTGTGGTCTGTTTTACTGTTGAACATGTGCCACTCTTTGGTCTAACTTTGTAATTGTTAAATTTCCAATAGTGATCCAGCTCTTCATGTGCTGAACCTTCATTAAGTGATCCAAATGAAACTGGATATATTTTTTAAATTTTATGAATAGTAACTGTGATTTATTTATGAATTTTTTTAAATCACAAAATTCTTTCAAAGGATTTTAATTGAGCAAAATAGTGCATTAGATTGAGCCACATGAAATTATTGTTTTTGTGGCCCCCAAATGTTAAATATCAGCAAATTCATGTGGTTCCATAATGTTTATGGAGGAATGCTATATAATACTTACTGCTTTTGGCACAGTGAATTTTAAAAATTTCAGTATGTATGCCCTTCAAGTGAAATTAGCAAATTCTGTGTCATCTTATAAACAGCTGGATTTTATGTCATTGTAGCAAATAAAAATGTGTCAAGTAAACGAAGGTGGCTGGGTATTTCTTGGTGAATTTAGAAGTGTCTGAAATACACTTCTGTGTGTTTCACAGCGTTTTTCTGGGTTGATTGTCAGTTGTTGTTTTTAAATCTGTGTTTTTTCTCCTATGAGTTATGAAAAATATATAAGCTTTATGCCTACTTTGGTTACTTAGAAACCTTGGACAGAACAATAATTTAAAAGTAGCCCCATAAGAAATAGCCATGTAACTTTTAATGCTAATGAGATGTATTTTTTGCCAGAGCCCAACTCGACTTTTATGTAAAAATAAGAAACAAGAACATTGAGATGATTTATTACAGGAAGAGTTTTTATAGGGTTTGGTTTCAGTGAGCTCGTCTGTGACAAAGCAAATTGATGGCAGTGATAGCTAGTGAGGTCACTGTGATGTCAGTACTCCTACTTACCCTGCACATGCTTGCTGGTTTGGAACACTTTATGTGGTCCTGTGATAGGGGAAGCAAGACAGTTCTGTATGCAGAAGCCCATCATGGCTGTAACTGGAGACGAAACAGGTAAGAATTTTAAAGAGGGATTGAAATTCCGCAAGATTGTTTTTGAAGTTTAGAAAAATTATTTAGGAACCTCTGAGTGTTTCAAAAAGTATTAACTTTCTAGTAGCTGAGGAGTAAGACGTTCCTTCTAATCTGTAACCGAATATACTCGGCACTCTGTGAAGGCATCTGAGTGTAACCGCTTCTTTGCTCAGTACTGTGCTGCTTCCCCTTTCTCTCTCTCTCTCTCTCTCTCTCTCTCTCTCTCTCTC